GATGAGCTCTATCTCGGACAGCGTGACACCGCGGATTGGACAACGGATGCAGACATATTGCAGGCTTCTGAGGATTTTAAAAAGAATTTGGAAGCGATTGAGGCCAAAATTGAAAAGATGAACAAGGATGAGAGATTGAAAAACCGGTTCGGACCGGCCAAGATCCCTTACACTTTGCTGTATCCTTCTAGTGAGCCTGGACTTACTAACAAGGGAGTTCCCACCAGTATCAACATCTAAATCATTTCTGTTTCTTTGTCTGCATTGTATTTCACTCGTGTTATATGTAATTCTTTTCGTTTGTAAGAATAAATTTGGAAATTGATCATGTAGTTTTTTGAACATTTTACCAATGAATAAATTTGTATTCATTTTTAGATTGCATATGCTCAAAGCTCATTTCTCTGTTGAAATTTTACGCTCATATTTGGCAAGGACCGGGATATTATGAACAAGACATAACTTTATCTCAAATGAAATTCGAAGATTGATTCTTTACTCTTAAACGTCTCTAAATCAAATGAATTTTCCTAGAATGGACGGTTCCAATTATAAAATGAAGCAATGTTGGCGGGGAATGAGGAAAGAAACAAAAACAATTGTGATGGGAATTAGGAGTAGTACTTGAAGTTAGTTGGTTTCGGCAGAATCTACACATCATGGTGCAGAGGAAAAAGTTGAAGTTGGTTGCGGAAAATATACACACCTTCAAAGGAGACTGATGGTTTTGTTAGAGTATAATGTTGTACGGATGAGATCCTGCCATTTGTAATTAGATTAGTTAGTTTGCTAGGAAGTCTGTTAGAGTGACTAGTTCACTATAAATACATAATCTTGTAATTACTTCAACATTAAGTAAACAATTCATAAATCTCCTTTACCTTCTTACTTATCTCTCTATTCTCTGCTACTCTCTCTCATAACTATGGTTTCTATTTCTTCATATTAACATGGTATCAGAGCCAAAGAAGCTTTAACCGTAAAATTTCTTCGATCTTTTGTTCTTTGTTTCCGCTATCTACGATCTCTCTAGGATTTTTACTTTATGATTTCCTCAAGTTGGCATTTATTTGAGGGCTGTAAGTTTCTTCCCGTACCTCCCTGTGTCTAAGTTCCGACTACTACTGCTGCTACTGTTCACATGTTCCTGCTCCGGCAAATCTCTTTCTTCTCGATGCCCATAATTTTTAGGGATCTTGTTTCAGTTTCTGACTGACCAGAAGGTATTGGTTGTGTCTTCTCTGTTTTTCTGGGCATCTGCGATTGCCCGTTTCTGCATTCTACATTCAACAAAGATTGGCACACTAGGTGTTTGGTCTTTTGCCTCGGTTAAATTTTCTGCAATTTCTCAACATGGTCGCTGCAAATCAGTTACAAATCTTGCAATCACCAATTATTGGCTTGATTTCTTCGGTCTCTACATTCATTTCTGTCAAGTTAGATGAGACCAACTACCTTCAATGGCACTTTCTGTTGCAGTTGATGCTTGAGGGCCATGGCATTATGGGATTCGTTGACGAATCAAATTTGTGTCCTCCTCGGTCTACAGCAACCTCTGCACATTCTATACTCACAAATGGGCCATCTGCTAGCCATGAATCACATGAGTTTAAAGCATGGAAATCGCATGATTATGCTTTGATGTTGCTACTTACTACAATTATCTCTTCATCCGCTATTTCTTGTGTAATTGGTAGCAAGAGTTCTCGAGAGATGTGGGTTCATCTTCAAAACCACTTTTTCTTACCAAGTACAAAAAGTAGTGTAATCAAGTTACACAGTGATGTCATATTTGATGATGAAGACTTTGTGATCATTTCATTGAATGGACTACCTGCAAAATTCAACACATTCAAGTGTGTAATCCAGGGGCGTGAGAGTGTCATTTCACTCAAGGACTTTCGTGCACAATTGCTCGTTGAGGAAACCATTGTGGATTGTGCTTCTATGACACCTCTTATGTTTGATGTGGTAACTCAATATAGTGATTGTGAGACACAAAGTTCTTTCTTTTCTCTCTAGCTCTCAGTTGCATGCTGGTTTTAATGATGGTTATCATGCTCAATACAAGTTTAGTTCATGTCAGTCAAGCTATGGCAAAATTGTTGATGGTTATAATAGTGTGTACAAAAATTTTGATTCAAGAATCGTGGTAAAAAGAGTTTCCATTATGATAATGGTGCAACCTACAAGTCTTTTCCTCATTTTTCACCTGGAATTCTTGGCTCCCCTCCATCTCCATATCATAATTCTCTACCACCTAAAATTACTACATGTCAAATTTGTTCATAAAAGGACCATCTTGCTGCCCATTGTTCTGCTCAAATTACCAATTCATCTATTACTCGAGAGACGAACTTGCAAAATCAGCTTCGAGTTTTTTATTCAATGGATTCCGTCAAGCAGGACTATGTTATGGTCAATTCCACAATGAAAACTGAGGAGCATGCAACTAGTTTTGGTGCAGAAAGTTTATAAACTAGTGAATCAGCTAAATTACCAACATCTTGTGATTCAACTCCATTACTGGAAGTGTGAAGACTATGTATACTACACCCTTCTACTAGGCTCCATTTGGTACATCAATTTGCACAGGTTCTTGCAGACATGTCGCAGGAAAAGTATAATGTATGATTCTTTCTCGAATTTTTTGTTCAACTTGTTTTTTGGCCATATGGGAGAAATATATTCAAACTACTGCATATGAATTCAGATGATATTATGTGTCTTGCTTATGCAATGGTGGCGATATATTTGATATTCAATTAGGCTACCATATGGGCATTTGTGACAAGGGAGGTGGCACCAACAACCTCACTCTCCAATTGCAGGGAATACTACACTAATGTTCTTTGACAACCTGATGAAATACTACATTTGTAATGATACTGCTTCAACCTCATGATTGGGCGCCCCAGTCTTGAGTTTGAGAGGGGATGTTAGAGTATAATGTTGTATGGAAGAGATCTTGCCATTTGTAATTAGATTAGGTGGTTTGTTAGATTAGTTTGTTTGTTAGGAAGTCTGTTAGAGTGACTAGTTCACCATAAATACATACTCTTGTAATTACCTCAACATTAAGTAAACAATTCAGAAAGCTTTTTTACCTTTTTACTTCTCTCTCTATTCTCTGTTACTCTCTCTCATAACTATGGTTTCTATTTCTTCATACTAACAGGTTTGAGGGTTGCTAAATCAACGGTGCCATGTTGCTTTCTTCCTTCACTTTTCTGTTCATCGAGTGAAGAAAGATCATAAGGAAGGAATCGAGTGAAGAAAGATCATAAGGAAAGAGAAGACACACGAATCGTTCATGTTCACTACTCGGACAACTATTTTAACTTGTGTGGCCAAGTGAGGCTATACCAATAAAGATCTATTTCGAGGCTGTCCCTGTTTGTGTGTCATCAACCCCCGAGTTACTCTCGACAGATGGAATTACCATGGTGTCCATACCGTCCACTGAGCTGGCCGTTAACCTTTGAATTAAACGGTGAGGGTAATTGCTCAATTAGGAAAAGACCAATGCTAAGAATCAAGGTCCAATTGTGACATGCATTTTTGTTTCTTGGAGAGGAATCTTTTAGATGCCTTTTTATTCATGCAATTTCGTGTCGTGTTAATGAATCATCTACAACTTTGTGAAATCTATGAGTCTGAGTGAGTCAAGGTTGCAGTGGCTATGTTGGAGGTACTTGACCTTTAGATGAAAGGAATCAATCCAAAAATCCAAAGTTATAAGGAGTTAGGTCATCTTCAACCGAAGGGTCCAAAGGGCCAGAGGGCCGAAAATAGCCTGAAAATCGTCTCTAACCAAGGGCTAGGCCAAAGGGATCGTGGGCCCCACTGAACAAAAAAGGGCCAAAGGGCTAACTGGCTGACCCAACTCAGCCAGCCCCGGGCTGGGCCAGAATTTTCATTATTCATGTCGGTTATATCCGATAACATTGTGCTTATTCCTGTCGGTTATACCCGGCAGAAATGGTAGGCCAAATTTTTAAAATAACGGCTAGCTGACGTTAGCCAGCCGTTATTTTTAATTTTTTTTATACAGTTTTTTTTTTTTTTTTTTACAAAATTTGTTTTAAAAATTGTAAAAATTCTTTTTTTTCCCCTATAACTTCTAAACCATTAAACATTACACTAACATTAAGTAACATGAAACAACATTAAATAACATTAAATAACATTAAATAACATTAAACAACATAAAAAAAACATTTAACAACATGAAACTTAAACAACATTTTTAAAAACATTTAACAACATAAAACTTAAACGCCTACTTCATGCTACTTTTGGCCCAAAGATGTGTAACAAGATCCTGTTGTAGGTACTTGTTTGTGGTACGGGAACGTATCATTCTATAGCATCATGTACTCATTTATAAAGATATTACCGGTTCTTAGATTGAAAGGCAAATTAGGCCCATCATATATTTTTGCACGAGCCATTCTTGACCTATTTAGATCGTCTTGGTCGTCATCGAACTCTCCATTAATATACTCATCTCGTTCATCCTCCACTATCATATTGTGTAATATGATGCAAGGCATTATGATGGAGTCCAAATTTTCTTGACTCCACCCTCTTGATGGTTTGTTGATAATCTTCCACCGTGCTTGTAGAATATCGAAAGCTCTCTCATCATCTTTCCAGTATGCCTCTTGGTGTAAGGTAAACAATTTTTCGGCGTCATTCCTAGGGTTTGGAATTGCTTGGACAAGTGTCGCCCACTTTAGGTAGATGTCATCTGCCAAGTAATACCCCATATTGTATCGACGACCATTGATGTAATAGTTAATTTAAGGTGCTTTACCTTCTGTTAGGCTATCGAAGAGGGTTGAATGCCCAAGAACTGTAATGTCATTTTGGGATCCAAGGACTCCAAAGAAAGCATGTCAGATCCATGTGTCATACGAGGCAACTGCCTTTAACACAACAGTTGGCTTTCTCGACCTTTTGTAGAAGCATCATTGCCATCCGGTGGGATAGTTCTTCTAATCCCAATACATGCAGTCTAATGACCCTATCATGCTCGGAAACCCACGACCTTCAGCTTTGCAAAGGAGCCGATCCAGATCTTCTTGATTTAGCTCGTGGAGGTACTCATCTTTGTAAACTTGAACAATTGTGTCACAAAATTGTTCAAGAGTATCAAAGCATGTAGACTTTGAACATACCATGGGTTTCATCCATCAAATCAGCTTGGGAGCCATAGGCCATCATTCGGAGTGCAACAGTAACCTTCTGATGAGGTGAGAAACCAAGGTGACCTGCTCTGTCCCGTTTCTGTCGAAAATATGGATTGACATGCTGGACATCACAAAGTAAACGCTCGAAGACATGACGCCTCATCCGAAAGTGACGTCTGAAATCCTCTTTTGTGTACATCGAGTTGGGGTTGAAGTAGTTGTTCATCGGATTGACATGCGTCATCGCTTAGTTTCGTGGTTTGTAAGAACGACTAGCAATAGAGCCACCCTATCGAGGTTGTTCCTCAGTTGGCTGACACACCATGGTCGCAGCCATGGCTGCTGCTCTATTTTGTTTGTTGCGCCTTACTTCAGCTTCTTCATCAGACTCCTCATCTTTTCATCTCATCTGCACCCATTTTTCTTCCAATTTGGAATTGGATGAGGACCCCCAATTGGAATCCGAAGAGGATCCAAAGTTGAAATTCATTGCAAACTTGAATTGAAAGAGATTGAATTGAAATAGATTGAATTCAAATTTGTGTGAATTATAGCCCAATATCCACCCTATTTATAGCAAAAAAAAAAAAAAAATCAAATCAAATCCAACGACTAGCTAACGTCACTTAGCCGTTGGATTTGAATTTAAGTTGTAGTTTTTAAATAATAAATTATGTTTGGTCCTTGGTTGGAGACGATTTTTTTGTAACAGGGCTAAAACGAGTCATATGACCCTCGGTTGGAGATGAAGGCAAATATGATCATGTACTGTTCATTAAAATATTAATTTTTTGGAAGACCAGAGAGTTAAAACGAGTCATCTGACCAGCCTTCGGTTGGAGATGGCCTTAAAGTACTCCATCCAAATCCAATGACTATTCTAATTAATTTCCTTAACTTAAACTAATACGCAAACGATTGTCCCCAGGTTCTACTCATGCAAAAACGTTGAGTTGTTAGTTGAGTCCATTTGCATATTTTGGTTGAAACACTACGCACCCGACTGAACTGCAATTCAGATGATCGCCGACCATGGTTGGTAAAATACGGTGCAATGGAGCTCGAGATTCGATTGAAAAGAGCTTGTAATTCCCGTGATTAAGAGTATTTTATTTCTACCAAATAGTTGTTAGTCCAGTAATACTTCTTTTCCAATATTAGGGGAGGTATAAAGATTGAATCGCCTCTCCCCATTCATAAACACGAAGAAAAAACGATAGATTCAACTGCAAAAGGGAGCGTTCATTCCATTCGTTAAGTTCGAATCACCTCTCCTCATTCGTAAATAGAAAGAGTCACTAGATTCAAAGAAACCGCATTCATAAATACTTTACACAATCCATAATATTACCATCCCGTAAATACAAAATACGGGTGAAACCTACAACAACGTACTAAATAACTCTTCGCATACACGGCATCCACTATGCCATCGGTACCTGCACCGTTTTAATAACAAAAACAGCAAAAATGTAAGTAAAGGAAAATAAAGGGAGTGTAAGTATACAACGATAACTCGGGGAGCATAGATGATTGAACTACCGCATACATCATCGAAAGCTGAGGTTCGTGCCATCAGTGTTTGAACCAAAGAACTACTCATGTGGCAATTTCTCCTTACTAGCACCCCTATTCGCACACAAGTCAAGTTGCAACTATAAGTACAATTACAAAGGAAAGGATCAAACTAACAACAGATTAAAGTTAAAATGACGAAGAACTAATGGTTAAAAATTCGATATCCCACCATAAAATTTTCGTAGATAAGATACATGACGATTTAAGCACATGAGTTCCGGTTTGTGAGATGAATCGTCGGGTGATAAAGCAACAGATAGAAGTTTTAGACTATGAACAAAAATCAACATAAAACGACATAGAAAAGAAATTCATGAAATTAAATGTGATGAGATGAAACCGACGCTGGTGGGGAGCTCCCTTCAGTCCAATGGGTGGGCAAAGCGAACGGAAGGAGTTGCTCCCACGCCATGCACCAGGCCAAACCCTTAACATTCGTGCAGCGGGCTAGGGTTGGAAAAATAATATGTTAAGGGGGTAGCCAAATGCATGAGATGGCAGCTCTTGCCACTCCTCAGCCCTCTGAATTGGACTAAAAGGAGCTCCGTCCTCCATCAGTATCTAGCTCTACCTTCCGTGAAGGGCTGCTTCAATCCTTCCCCTTCTTGCTTCCTTATATAGTAGAGCACATGTTTAAGTAGAGGATCATTAAGTAGGGCAAATTTAAATTATGATACATTAGTTATAACATAGTGAGGACACGTAGTAGAGCAAGGACACACGTTGTACGCATGTAAGTCAGATTAATGCTAAGAAAGTGAGGTCCCATCGTAAATTAGTTAGTACGTAATATGGAAGAGTATTCTAATTATTTATAAGTATATATACGGTTTTTTCGACGTAAAATACATGTTCTTAACATGTCTCCTTATGTGGCAAATTTTCATACTTTCAACCTACTTCTTATGTCTTAACTTGAGGAGTTTTTTAACTCTCAACAAGTCCCGTCACGTAGAGTGAATTTTTAAGCTTAACATGTATGAGTATTGACTACATACTTACAAATACTTATAAATCATAAAAAAATAAAAAAATAAAAAAAAATTAATAGGTATAAGATCATTGTAACATCGATGTGTGTATACAAGACCAGATTCATAGAAAACGGGTTAATAGGACACCGTACAGATGACCAGCTTTATGGAAAACATGATTAGTGTAGATTATTAACTCGTTACTAATTGTGGGTAAAGATTACCATATATATAGGATTTAATAACCCTCTGATGTGGAAATAATCCTAATGTAATTAAAATATAATAATAATAATAAAGCTAATCCTTGTCATTTAAGGATTCTAGTCCAACAATTAATAGTTATATGTAGGAATCATATATTCATAGATTGGTTTTAAACCCGGAATCAGATTTTTTTCTCCTCAAATCCTTTTTCCTCCTCTCTTCTCCTTGCTCATTTTCGTCTTTCTACTTCTATATAGAAGCCAAAATACCATTCAAATAAGGGCTGAAAGGAATGTGAAATTTAAAGAGGAAAGAATCATTCTCCTTTACATCATCGTAGGTTAGATTTCTCACGATCTTCCCATTTTCGTGAACGTACGAGCAATCTTTATTTATGAGTGACCATTCCATCGGTCATGTCAATGAAAAATAAATAAAAATAGAGCTATCAAAAACTTTCTTTGTCTCTTGGTACACGAAGAACAGTAAAGCTTTCTTTAGTTGCATGAAATCTTTGGAGGAGATCGTAACCGTACTGCAAAGACTTGACGCATGCCTGGAGCCAAGACGCAAAGAACTTATTCGGCTGAAAGCAAAAGACAACCAATGAACCAAACAGTTAATGCCAGGAACAGTTCTACATCAGTACTCGTCTGCATGCATATCATCATCCCAACCGTTGGATTTGAACAACTTTATACTAATCGTATTGGACGGTCAAGATATGCACTCTGATTACCTAGGTATCATCAATATACGCAGAGGTAAAAAAATATGCCAGTAACTTGCCTCTTTGGTTACTGCTAGGAATAACAGTGGGTGGGGGACTTTGACACGCACACGTATTCCAACTTTTCACACTTTTCTTTACGTAGTAATTAAATTGAATAAATCAAAATTAACTTGCTAAAATTAAATAATGATGCATAAGAGGTTAAAAATGGTGTGGAAAAATCATTTTCCTAATATTATAGTATGGAATCACTTATAGATCATCAGATCATGGCTAAGCTCTATGTGAGTTACGAGGAGCCTTAGGTTGTGTGATAATTGCAAATGCACAATATCGTTTCAAATGATATAATAATAAGTATAATGTCGTTTCAATAAGGATTAGATTAACATAAATTTAACGAGACAAAATTGTGAACGGAAGTTTAATGAGACGATCAAACAATAGACAAAGCCGCGCCTAGATGGAAAGATTCAATGAAAAATTCAAATAAACCAAAATGCTCACTTTGCAGGCAAGGTTTTCGTGCTAATAATAAACCCTAGAGTTTAGAGTTTATGGTAAATATGTATGCATATTTTTCGTGCTAATAATAAACCCTAAACCAATCATACCCGCAACAAAATCATTACAAAAGGAATGGCCTGGGAATTTTAAATTAGATTTTCGATTTAATTTTTTTATTATTATTATTATTTTTTTTAAGGATGACAGCTAGTGGCAAATCACGATTATCCACTTATTCCAAGAGCGGGAAGATTCATAGAGGCATTTCAGCCTCCACTGGCCACAAGTCTGGCTTCCACACTAACAACGGGTTTCAAACCTAAGACCTCCAGTTTTTAATTTGAATAAAGCCTCGCAATCCGCTCTTTACCACTAGATCACCAGCTCGTGGTTAGATTTTCAATTTATTACTGTAATGATTTTAAGCATGCTTAGAGAAAAGAAATAATAATTATTAAGACCTGAGGCAACTCAATCAAAAGCAAGAAATCGAATACGGTCCTGCTGCATGCGCCTCAGTTTTTCCAAAGATGTGATATCCACACACTTCATTTTACTTTTCACACACTTTTTTTTAATTTTTGGCCGCCGGATCAGATGAATTGAAAAAGATCAATGGACATAAATTATCAAGGGGTGTGTGAGAAGTAAAATAAGATGTGTGAATAGCACATCCTTTTTTCCAATCCTCGAGAGCAACATCATCCATATTCCATAGTGTCATTTTCACTTCATCACATCGTGTTCGTGACAGTGAATTATAGAATATTGCATACGTTTGTGACTTATTTTCAAAACAAATATAAGTGACTGAATTCTTTGTTCCGTTCGTCACTTGCTCTCATCCATTTTCTAATTGGTCTAATTCAAACTGTCCCAGATCTTAATTCAATAGTGGATGGGTCTTTGATGTTTGATGATTTCGAAGAGGTTGTTATGGAAAAGATATATAGCATCTCCACTCTTAAAATTTAAATTGCCAACAGGGTGGTGGGTGTGTTGCAGAAAGCTGTAGTCATTATTCCAAGTAAATATGCGGCACGTACATGGCAATCCAATGCCTAACAGTTCTTCGTGGATCATGGATGGATTCATGGTGGAAAAATTAGTTTGCTTCTAGTCTAGCATTAGTAAAATTACAGTGTTTCACAATCAAATCATAAGCCAAATTTGGTATACTTCAAATATCTTTTAGAAAAAACCAAAAATAGAGAGAGAGAGAGAGAGAGAGAGAGAGAGAGAGAGAGAGAGAGAGAGAGAGAGAGAGAGAGAGAGAGAGAGAGAGAGAGATCGGAGAGTTGTTCCCTTGTCACTAATTTACTCTGCTATAAGTTAGACAAATGAATCACTTTTTAAATACACGACTAATGTTTATTTAACGTGTGATGCCGTTAACATGTCTATTAAATGTCTTTTAGACAGGTGAATCACTTTCTAAGTTCGTTTATTCAAAGAATATTGCCATCAACTTAGCGCATAATAAACGAATAATGTCGTCAACTTGGCGCATTAATCGTAAGAAAGCTTCTTGGGTGGTTATTAATAAGAGGGGGAGGGGCTTGTTGCATGGGACAGATATTATGCGAAAAATACCCATGCAAAATTGACATTGTATGAATTAACAATGGACGTGACCAGTCCAACGTGTATCAGTGTCACACTGGCCAATGCATCCAAAGGTCCCAGCAGCAAGGAAGACTTAGGGAATTAGATCCTCTCGGATCCGCTCATTAGGGATTTCAGGAATTAATGAATAATAAACGTTCATTAAAGATCGTGCAGTTACAATTTTTTTTTTTTTATATTTTTCACGTAAAACAAGATTGTTTTACTTTTAAAAATATAAAAAAGGTTAAATTGGATTAATGGTTCCCGTAGTGAGAGGGTAATCGGAAGATAACCCTCGTGATGAATTCCGTTAGGATTTAAGCTCAAAATTAACATCTTCCTCATCTGTCTGTTAACCCATTCAACTTCATAACCAAAAGAGAAAAAAAGTCATTCATCCAAGACTATGAATTCGTTGATCCATGCTTCGATTCCATTCAAAGATCTTTTGTCCATTAATCAGTGAATTCCCTAAATATGCCCATTTGAGAAAAAAATGATTTCAAAGAAGACCTTTCAGTTGTTAGATTACAAAAGGATTGTGATTTTCTGCTCGCAAAAAGCAAAACGAAAATGAATATTACAATTATAAACAATTGGAGGAGAAAATTGGCGACAAAAATCCAAAATACGTAGTGGTATTCATTTACAGGGAAATGGGTTTCTTCTGTTGGATGCGTCTATGGAGAATGAAGAAACATGAAAATGGGTTTCTCTTTTGGATGGAAGATGGATTTGGATTTTTTTGGTGCCATTTATTTGATGGTAAGAATGTTGCTGCTTTGATTGCACTCTCTATCTCAACGCTCACACAATTTTTCTTTCTTCTTTTGCTTTTCTAATCAAAAGATTGAGGTTGCAGCTATTCAAATACGAAACAAGGAGAAAAATGCAAGACACATTGAGATTGAACACATCAGACTTCATGGTTTTAAAATCCAATGAAATCTTTGGGAGAAGGGTGGGATTGTTAATTTTGGGTTAACGGAGAGTTCACATAAATGTTAATTTTGGGCTTAAATCCTAATGGAGTTCACCATGGGGGTTTAAATCCGAATTTTTTCACCACGGGGGCTATCTTCCAATTACTCTCTCACCACGGGGACCAAAAAACATTCAATTGGCCGTACGATCTTTGATGAACGGTTATTATTCATTGATCCCCTGGATCCCCAATGAGGAGATCCGGAGAGGATCTAATTCCGACTTGGAGGACTGCATGGCTTGACACGTGCATGACTCCAGGGCCTACGTACGACAACCTTTTTTGTTTTCAAGAAATTTTAAATACGGTAGAAACACGATTCGGTATATTAAGTGTCAGAATATAAGTAGTTGAATTTTATTTTTAAGTATCTAATTACTTGTAGTGTAATACTTAATACAACAGGCGTGTTCTCGGGATAATAAAAAATTTCTTCTTGTTTTACATACAAATCTTTTGGAGCAAGGCAACGCAGTTAGTTTCATGCGTCGGATTTTGGACGCATGCATGCACGAATCATCACAGAATTCATTTGCTATCTTTCTTTTGCT